GAATTTGCAAGCATGACATGGGGGATGCTCACTTAGGAATTATTATAGACATGGCTAGCAACAAAAATACCCTTATCAAACTAGTATAAATAACTCCCCATTCCTGACTAGCCCCCTAAGATGTTCTTTCCCAGTCTAGTATTTTAAAGATAGTTTAATAATTATGGGGACATTAAGGCCTTGGCCATTATGTTGGCCTTAGTAGCATAGCCTGGCCACTTAATTTTAATTTATCTAAGATTAGTGAATTCTCTTAACAAATTTCTGTCTCTGTTGCAGTATTTCAGCCAGGAAGTTTGAGCACAATAAGTAGCTGGGGTATTTAAATACATGGTTACCTTTTACATTACTTTGTGATGCTATCTAAATTGAAAAATAAATGATTATAAATATTTAAATATATATCTATATGTTGATATCTCTCTCTCAGTTTGTACCATTCCGCGATTACATTGACCGCACTGGCAACCACGTCTTGAGTATGGCACGGCTGGCTAAGGACGTGCTGGCTGAGATTCCGGATCAGTTCATCTCCTACATGAAGGGGCGTGGCATCAAACCTAATCCAGCTCCACCTCCTTACTTTCCCTCAAGCCACACCCTTCAGACCGAAATCTGAAGATCGGAAGAGCAATTTTAGAGAGAGAGGGGCGTTGAAACATCCAGTCACTCTTCAGGGTCTGCTTATCTGTTTTCTGGGGCCAGAGATCCAAGCAGTATCTACACCAGAGTGAGGAAATCCACAACGTGTTCTCTTTCGAAAAAGTTCATATTGAGAACTGTTTATGCTGAAATGTTGGCACAACGATATGTTTAATTCATAGACATTTCCATTTGGTAAACAGCAAAAATGGGAGGGGGGATTTTTTAAAAAGGACACACTCAATCACAGGTAAGCATCCTCATTTCTTTTCAGCGAAGTAACCAAGATGGAGTCTAGTATGTCTTCAGGAAGTTACATGATTCATTTTGCTTATGGTATGTGTGATGGATTTCCATAAATCTTCCAAGCATCCCTTTCCCCTCCTCCTTCCAGCTTCAAAAAGTTTTGAATTATTGGAATTTTTTATAGCCTGTGTGTATCATCTGCCTGCCACATTAGGCCTTCTGTCTTTCCTTTGTAACAGCTCAACTTCTGGATTGACTTGGCAGGCTAAATATTGTGATGAGTATCTGTTTGATGTCATGTTGGTGCTGCTACTATTTCTTGTACTGAACCCCATCCCTAGCTTGCCCAATTCCCTTTATTGTTTGTAAATCTGCTTTGGCAATATTTGTGCAGGCTTGGATTGTTTATTAGTATGTCTTAATGCCTCCCTTAAGTCCCTTTTTTAATTTTTCTAAAGCTGCAGTTTCCGGTATCTACCTGGAAACCAATTTCTCCCTTGACTTTGATATCTGACATTTCTGTGTGAGGCATTAATGATGTATTTGGAACATCAGAGAAGAAAATTAAAACTGAACCTGATTTATTTAAATACCTTATTGCAGTTTTGCCTATCAGGTTAGCAATATCAAACATTAACAACAGTCTACTCATTCAGAACAAATGTAGAGCTGCTACATGAAAACATGAAACTGTCCAAATTTCACCATTTGCAAATACAATCCAGTAGAGAGTCCCAGCTATTTCTCAGCAGTTCATTCTTTTTTGAAGGAAAGTAAAAAAATTAGAGTTTGAAGGGATCATGGAGATCTTCAACCACCTGCCTTAGGGCAAAAATCCTCTCACCATCCCTGATAAATGACTGTACACTCTTTGCTTGAAAACCTGCAGTGATGGAGATCCCATGAGCCCCATTATGCTTAGCCAGGCAGATATTCCAATCCTTTCACTAAGACTAGATGCAAAGCCTATTTGGATTCTGCTCATGAATAATGTCCCTAGTGGGAGCAGGTGAACTTCCTCATACTCATAATTGTTTGCCTGTCTTAAGATTCCTTCCAGCTCTCCAGACCCAATTTTTGCATTGCTACTATTAATCCAATTATACAACCACTCTGGTAGTCGGTGTTTGCTTTCCATAGCAGAGCTAGCTAAGGGAACAGTTCCCTCTCCAATGATGGTACCTACATTGTTCCCAGAAGGTAGGAAGGAGAATGGCAGAGATCAGAAATGAAATCAAAGATTATGGGATGTTCCTTCTCAGGGTTAAGTGCAAGAATTGAAGTTTCTGAGAATTTGAATATATTGATTATATAGGCCAATTTTAAAAAAATTACACTGAAGCGTCAACTTTCCAAATGTTGACTCTCATTTTGCAAAGGATGTACTACTTTGCTTAATTATTTGAAGCATCTCAAATATTCCACCACCATCCCTTTTAACTCACTGCTTTGTAGAAGTTCAAAGAAGGTCCACTTCATAGAACTCGCTCTTTGAATCTTTCTGATCTGTTAATAAGATTTGCATTGCAACTGGCTGGTATTTTGCTCAATTGCAGGGAGAGTGAAAGAGGCATTAAGCAGTAGATGAGCAATTATGCCCAGCTGTCGCCTTTAGAGTGGTTAAAAAAAAAAAAAGGCGATACAAGTTGCAAGGCCCTTTCTTGTCCTACAGTTAATTTGTTCGGGGTTAATCAAAATTTAACAAAAGGTACTGTTAACATCTTAGGGATTCTCGGACTGGAACATATACTGGAACATCATTCAGCTCCTCCAATTTGTACAGCAAGAGTGTGCATCTTCACTTAGCCCATCAGCCATGTTGGTTCTTTGCACAGCACATACCTCCAAAATGAGTGGATCCAGGACCTATTTTGGGAGAAGGTTCAGGGAATATAAGGTATAAGGCCTTGGGTGCTATAAATATCAAGGTTTGTCCCCAATGTAAATGAAAATTCAAGGATTTGGGCCCTCTTGCTCTACAGCAGAGGTCTCCAACCTTGGCAACTAGCTGGCTGGAGAATTCTGGGAGTTGAAGTCCACAAGTCTTAAAGTTGCCAAGGTTGGAGACCTCTGCTCTACAGGTTCCTGAGGGCCACAGAAAGAATTGTGGGAGCTCCACAAATGTGAGGGACAAAGGAGTTTGCATGCTTAACAACATGTGAGAACATACGAACCAATTGGTCCATGACAGTTGTGGTCCAGAAGTTCCTCTATTTAAAATAAGATAAGTTCCACTATAAATAAGAATAATAACAGGATATTGCAAACTTCTGTAGAAGCCCAGTGTACTAATTATTACTAGACATGATGTCTTTCAGGTAATTTCCCACTAATATAAAAATCAAGTAAATTGGAACAAGGCAGATTAACCCAGGGACTGGAATGAAAGAAGAAATCCCTATAAGTGGATCAAAGATGCCTTTATTGATTCCATTATTGCACCAACAGAGATGTGATACAGAACTAGGAGAAAAGACATGGATCCAGTTTATGGCTGTTTAAGTGGTTTTACTTTGCCACTTATCTTTATAAAACCCATTCTGTGCTAGCGGTTGTTTTACCCATAAACTAATCAACATTTTTTTAAAAAAAAAATCCAGAATTCAATAGTAAGGTTCTTTTGGTGCTTACTGAAAATAGCTGGATTTAGGCAGCTGATAATGACTGACAGTCTGCTCAGTCCAGATCCTCTTTTGACCCCCAACTAGTTGGTGAAATTAACTTCAGCTATAAATTCTTGGACTGAGGCTGGAATTATTATGTAAAGCTACCCAGCCCATATGCTGAATGACATAAACTCAGGGAGAAATCCTGAACTATTTACAATGAACGAGTTCTGTTTTTCACTTTGCTTTTGGCTGTGAATTATATCCCCAAAATGTAACTTGCACAGCTATATGGTCTTCCAACCCTCAAAAGAAATTAATTCCTTTGTCTTAGTACTATACAGACATTTCTCTCACCCTCCCTGTCCTTTTTCTGAATGAAAAGCTTCCAAAGGAGACAGTGGGAAATATTGTGGCCTAAATACTGAATGAGCAGAATGTCTGTGCATGCTGGTAGTACCCTGTCTTCTATCTGTTCATTGCTGACATCAGTAAAAATGCAACTGGTGGATATTATTTACTCTGCAGTTCTCTGTACTGCATCTTTGTAAAAGCATGGTGAAGCATGTCAGAACAGTCTTGTCCTCACTTGTGTGAGTGGAAGAACAAGAAAACCTACATCATGCAAACTGGTGCTCCGTTGAGTAAAAGATGCAATGCTTGCAAGAGAAAGATATCTGACATAAAAGTCAGCTTTTTAGGTGGGCAAAACTGCCGAATCTCAGCCCCATAGAATAGCTCTATGGGGCTGTGTAATGGAATAGTTGTAATAGAAACAATGACTTCTTTTTTTTAGGCAATCTTTTGAAGACATGAAGTAAGGCTGTTGAACACACGGTCTATTGCCCAGATCGAAACATCATCTACTTACCTAACTTTCTTACAGTCACCCAGCATGTTTTCACCTATCTCATTTTCTTTTTCCATTCATAGCTCTTTTTATTTGCATGGCGATGACTTTTATCTCTTTTATGCTACAATATTCTATGTTGAATGTTTGATGTAATATGGTTTCTATTGGATTGCCTTAAATTGAAATAAACAATTCCTTTTATTTAAATAGCATGGAAGCAAGCATAATTTGTAAAAGTTATTAGATGTCGGTTGCAAAATTGGAGAAGACAAGTTGGAAAAAATAATTTTAGGAGAGACAATGGTGTTCTATTGCATACACTGAAAAGAAGCAAATTATGGAAGAAACCTTTTGGAGACATAATTATTACTGATAGTTTTTCCTCCTTGTTTCTGAGGTATGTACAAATCCTTGAACAAAACCTTAAAGAATAAAGATTTGCTCATTCATCCAAACAGCAATTAAAATATGCTTTATATAACATAACTCAATGGGTGGCTACCTGGACATACAATACAGTATAATGGCTTTAACCTATGGACAGATGTCAATTAACAGCTGTTCAATTATGATACTCTAAACATGGAGGCAGAATTTAAATGAAATGAAATCAGGACAGAGAGGCTCAATTTGCAACATTTTCTATCTTTAAAGGAAATACATGTAGAGAAACGCCCTTTTGACACAATTTGTGCTGACACTTCGAGTCTGCTTGAAACAGGACAAGAATAAGATATAGCACTTAGTAGTATTTGAAACCAGAAACAACAACTTTGAATTTCAATTGAGATGGTGTGGACTTGAAAGTTTTCCAAAACTGGGAAACTTCAGTCTCAAGCTTGAAATGCCTCAAAATTACCCAAATAGCCTCTTTTAAATGCAAAACAAGTGATTGAAGCTGAAAGCTGCTGTTTTCAACTCAAAATAGAGCATTTTGAAATATAAATTGTTCAAATTGGAAAGGTTTTGTACAAGTCCAGAATCTAATTTTAAGTCTTAACTATAGCTATTTACTGGGTAATATCAGTTATGACTTGTAAAGTATTCTTAACAAAGGACAGTATTGCTACTTTTCTTTCAAAGTAGAACTTGTAAAGACAAGGTCCTTGACAGTGGTGAAGAGAGATCTTCATGCAAGACAGTTTGAATTTAGAGCTGCTTATTCTCCAGGTAAGGGGGCATGATGGCTTGGCAGTTGAAGATGCTGGGCTTGTCAGTTGGAAAGCTGGCAGCCCAGATTTGAGACCCGAGCGTTGTGTGACAGGGTGAGCTCTCATCATTTGCCCCAGCAC